AACGATAGCCTCTTCTATATTGTATTAAACTTGCCATCAATACTTCAGTTGTCGTTTCTTCATCAGGTTCGTTTACTTTAAGATATCTCATAGATAATATCGTAGCGATATAAACTATTGGTGTACTAGCAATAGTTGCATTTAACGATATAAATGACCATTTGTTCGAATCCAATAAAACTGTAAATATAAACGTAACAAGTAAACATGTAGTAATTATAATATTATATAAAATTTGCCAAAGATTCAACGATACTTCAGGAGCATAGTATCGTATATAATCGAATAGTTCTGAAGGTATTCCAATACACTCACAATCATCGATGTTATTTATTTTGTAATAGACTCGACTTAACTTAACTCGATAGTATTCGATCTTTTCATCACTTAAGTGTTGACTAATGCATGCTAGCAATTCATTTAATCCATCATTGTATCCATGATAGTAATAGATATTATAATCGGGCGATAATGTTACTTGGACAGAATCGTCGACAGTATCATCGTGTAGTGATGCTCCCATATTTGATTATACGGATAGCTATATTTGATATAGTCAGGTTGCTTTGGATAGATACTAGTATAAACTCCCGTCGCTATGCTGAAGGATTACGTTGTTATAATATTACGAACTCCCGTCGCTTTGCTGATGGATTACATTCTTATAATATTATACTTCTAGATTATTATTTTACAATAATACTTTAAACGTAACTCGGCCTTGCATCGCTACGCTGATGGATTACGTTCTATATACTGTACGTTAACGTTACAAAATACATTACTGTTACTATTCAGGAATTTGATTTTACCAAATTTCATTAATATTCATTCACGTTAAAAATGATGATTTGAACAGCAAAATGCATTGCATGAAGACAATACAAGTAATGAGCTGTTTATTAACATCCATTCACGTTAAAAGTGATGATTTGAACAGTATGTATAATGCATTACATGAAGACAATAAAAGTAATGAGCCATTTACTCTCTTAACAACAAGAAAATTTATATTACGATTATTATTTTCAGTCAAATTAATGCGAGCGATGTAGAAAATATCATATCTATGACAGTATTCCAGTGCCATCGTAAATAACTATAATAATCATAATTACTATTAGACTCACGTACAGCAACATGGAGTAGTTTTAATGATATTATATCGCTGTAAATGTATATATATTATACAATT